CAAAACTCATAATCAACTACCGTAAAAACCCGCAAATAAGCGCCACCCTCAATTAAGAGCCACTCAGTGAAATTTTTTTACATTTGACCCTCCATTAAGAGCCACCAAGAGTTGAGTGGTTTTGTCAATAAGAACCCTGAAATAAGCGCCAGCCGCCCGGTTGTTTACAATCAGGCAGACACCGAGCTTGTCGTGCCTCACTTCCACCCTGCATTGTTTATTGCACCACAGAAGGTGTGAGACAAATAAAGATTATCCCCTTAACTTGCCCGATGTCCTGTGTAATCATAGACCTGTTTTCTAAGGTCTATGGTGTAATTGAGAACGGAAGAATGATAGACGAAAGAAATGCACTGAGAGCGTGAATGTGACTGTCAAATTGTCTATTTTATATTTCTGACACACAATCGACCAATTCACAAACTATTTAGTAGTAACTACTAGTATGTTTTTTGCCGAAACACCGAAGGACACGTTGAGATATTCACTGCCAATGTTGTCTTTATAACAACAGTCCCTCCACAACTGTGTTATAACCAAGTAAAGAACGTCATGATTTTAGAACGCCTTTATCGGAAAATCCGGAGGTATTGAAAATACATTCTCACAGATGAACCGGAACAGGAAGTCAGTAGAAAACAAAAGATTTTTTCCTTAGCGTGGGGGAAATTTGGTTAGCGTGGGGGAAAACAGAGGTGTTAATCCGGTCCTGGCAACGTTTGAGGGATCGTGACGTAGCTCCGACTGTGAGATGTAATGATTACGCAGCCCACTCTCGCTGATCGTGATTTGGGGTTATTTTTTGCATTTCGTTTGAGACGTTCGTTTTGGGGTGATTCGAGACAAAATGTTCAGGGAAGTAACAAAATAAATGGCATTAGTTTGAAGAGGACTCTCAATCTCTTGCCGAAAATAATAGATATTGAAGTCGAATGGATTAGTTCCACAAACTTGCGCGATCAACTTGTCTTACAGCAAAGTGAAGTCTACGTGACCCGCCTGACCCAAATATTTAAATTAGCTATTTGTGAGAATTGAAAATAATCTGGACTTGTACCAATCAGAAAATGCCTTGTAACAGGCCTGGGCTTTCGTGAATGATTTCGTCTCTCCGATTGGTCACAGGAAATTATTTTTAATACATGTAATTGTTACTTTCTCGGTATCGTTTCGTATTTGGTTATATAGGGGTGGGGCTATAGTTTGACCCCGTTTGCGTGGACTGTGAAGTACGTGAATATCATTAACATATCATTATAAGCTGGCTTAATTATGAAACAGGAAATATATAAACCAAAGCTGTACTGTCAGACGTCTAGCGCAATTAAAACAATGCCCAAGTACCCAAGCTGTGAAAATCTATAGAAAAACGTGTTTTTCTTTATTGTTTTTGCCATAAATACAAGTGATTGGGCATCATTTTTTTTCATTCGTTCCATGCTTGCTTTGCAAGTATCCGAAACTATTTTATATCCTCACCAAATCAACCACCACGCCAGCCACAGCCACGCAAGTTAATCCCAGTTTTCAAGAAAAAAGTTTGCCGTACCAAACTTGGTAAACAATTGTACAACGGAAGTACAAGTGATTCGAGTGTTGGGTCAGACACTGAGAGTGCTACCAATTCCGACTTCAGGCATCGCTACGCATTGTCAGTGAGACGTGACTTCAGGCATCGCTGCACATTGTCGGTGAAGCGTAGAATCATCGTATTTATTTGACGTTTGTTATTCCCATAACAGTATTTTTACAGAATAAATTAATTGCAATGATACATCATTAATAATTACTTGTCTTTTTGGTTGTGTGTGTGTTTGCCTATCCTCTTCCCTATTTCACAATGAAAAAGTTTGATGACCCTGGTTTAAGAGCCACTGGCTACAAAGTTGTCAACATGTTACCTCAAATAAGCACCACCCATAAATGAAAGTGTTACAAAGTGGCTCTTATTTGAGGGTTTTGTATACATATTGTTCATTTTCTGATGATGTCTTCAGTTCTTTAATTGAAATGTGCATTTCTAACAGCGGAGCTATCTCAGCCGATAGGCTGCTTGTTTTAGATTATGTACCTTGGGTGGACCTCTCTCAGAGTTGTTCATTTCGTGATGATATTTTCTTTTCTCTAATTTTGATGAATACCGTAAAAACCCGCAAATAAGCGCCACCCTCAATTAAGAGCCACTCAGTGAAAATTTGTTACATTTGACCCTCCATTAAGAGCCACCAAGAGTTGAGTGGTTTTGTCAATAAGAACCCTGAAATAAGCGCCAGTCACCCGGTTGTTTACAATCAGACAGACACCGAGCTTGTCGTGCCTCACTTCCACCCTGCATTGTTTATTGCCCCACAGAAGGTGTGAGACAAATAAAGATTATCCCCATAACCTGCCCGATGTCCTGTGTAATCATAGACCTGTTTTCTAAGGTCTATGGTGTAATTGAGAACGGAAGAATGATAGACGAAAGAAATGCACTGAGAGCGTGAATGTGACTGTCAACTTGTCCATTTTATATTTCTGACACACAATCGACCAATTCATAAACTATTTAGTAGTAACTACTAGTATGTTTTTTGTCGAAACACCGAAGGACACGTTGAGATATTCATTGCCAATGTTGTCTTTATAACGACAGTCCCTCCACAACTGTGTTATAATCAAGTAAAGAACGTCACGATTTTAGAACGCCTTTATCGGAAAATCGGAGGTATCGAAAATACATTCTCACAGACGGACCGGAACAGGAAGTCAGTAGAAAACAAAAGATTTTTTCCTTAGCATGGGGGAAATTTAGTTAGCGTGGGGGAAAACAGAGGTGTTAATCCGGTCCTGGCAACATTTGAGGGATCGTGATGTAGCTCCGACTGTGAGAATGTAATGATTGCGCAGCCCACTCTCACTGATCGTGATTTTGGGTTATTTTTTGCATTTCGTTTGAGACGTTCGTTTTGGGGTGATTCGAGACAAAATGTTCAGGGAAGTAACAAAATAACTGGCATTAGTTTGAAGAGGACTCTCTTGCCGAAAATAATCAAAATTGAAGTCGAATGGATTAGTTCCACAAACTTGCGCGATCAACTTGTCTTACAGCAAAGTGAAGCCTACGTGACCCGCCTGACCCAAATATTTAAATTAGCTATTTGTGAGAATTGAAAATAATCTGGACTTGTACCAATCAGAAAATGCCTTGTAACAGGCCTGGGCTTTCGTGAATGATTTCGTCTCTCTGATTGGTCACAGGAAATTATTTTTAGTCCCCGTTCGGACGAAGTCCGAAAACGGGGACTTATAATTCGGTCTCCGTCCGTGTGTCCGTGCGTCCGTCCGTCCGGAGTCATATCTCAGAATCCCTTGGACCGATTCTGTTCATTCTTTGCATGTCCCTAGTACTTTATGTGGGACATATGCACATGCAGTGGTTTAGCGATTCGATTCAAAATGGCCGACTGGCAGCCATCTTGTTTTTTGAAAATGTTGTATTTTGGACATGCTTTGTCAGTTGTCATTCAAACTTGGTACATAGATTATACATGTTAGGATACATGTCCATGACAATTTATTTTGCAATTGGATCAAAGATGGTCGACTGGCAGGCATCTTGGTTTTGTTTTCTTATGCAGTATCTTAGAGGTGCTCTGTCAGTTTTCATTCAAATTTGGCACATACATGTACTTTATACATGTTAGGATGCATGTCCATGACAATTCGTTTCAAAATCTGGTCAAGGATGGCCGATTGACAGCCATCTGACTTTTTGGCCATACTACTATATTTCCACAATTTATGTACCATTTTCATTCGTATTTGGCACATACATCATACATATCTGTGTGTTTCATAATCAGATCAAAGATGGCTGAA